TCAAGCACAGTCCCAGCACAGCGGCTTTTTCTCTGCACTACAGCGAAGTACAAGTTTCTGCTTACACTATTCCTGACTCCTCTCCCATCCTGTGCTTGGACACTGGTGTTGGGCACACTGTAAAAACCTGTGCAGCTAGGAGAATGCAAGGTCTTAAGTTTATATCAAAATAACATCTAAAAAGAGGCGACACTTCCAGAGGGTACTTCTGGAAGTACACTCTGGTGCTAAGGGATGTTGTGTTGCTGAGAGTTACCACATCTTTTGTTCACTGTGGTGCATTGGCGCTTAAGGCTTTGTTGTAGAATGTCTGTCTGGGGTTTAATGTTGCTTTTCTTAACAGTTTTAATTGCTAAATGTTGTGAGGTTGGCATGATTAGATCCAGTGTAACCCAAAGCAGTCCAAAAGCAGTTTTCTTCTTTGTCACAGGATTCACCTCGCCCGTCATATTGAGAATGAAGGGCTACGACAGAAGCTAATTAGAGAGTTGCAGTTGCTGGTGGAGCACGTCTATGGGGATCAACAAGTGGATCAAGAGGTTCTAGAAAAGGACTATGTGGAGCGAGTCCTCCTGCTGAGAAAAGTATGAGCAATGATAGCACCGTGTCACCATTTTGGGGAGCTGAGGTTTTGTGGGATTCCTGGATGAAGACTCAGCTGAGTCCTGGGCACTGCTTTGATCTAAGCTCTGAAGCTCCACAGCCTGCCAGTGGCTGTCACTGCCAGCTCCAGTGATCATATGCATGCTGACTGCCAAAATCCAATGATATACTTTGCTGACCCATAGGAATGGGCATGGTGAATATCTTGGTGGCCTTTGCAGAGTCATAAGCTCATCCATACTTTGCTGAGACAGCATAGAGCTCCCTCGACAGAGGGAGGACGTGTCCCTCCCGTGGAAGCAAATCATGGAATTGTAGGATTTTCTTGGAAGACCTCTTTGATTCATGCTCAGAGCAGGACTGTCAGTAGTGCTGGGTCAGGTCAGCTGTGGCTTTGTCTAGATGAGTGTTGAAAACCTCCAAGCTGCACTTCTCCTGTAGCCCAGGATGCAGCTGGCTTGTGCTGGGAAGATCCAGCACCCAGGGCCCCTCGTGCCAGGAGGCTGCTCACCTCTAGCTTTTGCTGACTGGGCAGCGTAAGGTGCCTCTGCTTTGCTTCTGCTCCACGCTTTGGTAGCAAAGTCAAAGCAACCTCTTTGCAGAGGCTGATGAAGCTCTTGGTGGTTAAAACGAGTGGGGCTTGTGCATTGGGAGCCCTGGTCTCAGTTAAGTGGCAGAGTTCCGGCTGTAAAGGGGACAGAGATATTGTGGCTCTTCCCAGTGCCAGGAAGGAGGGAGGAGGGTGAGCCCAGCTGTTTCCCAGTCTGCTCCTGGGATGCTACTGTAGTATCTGGAGGATTCCTTGTGAAGAATAAAGCCTTCTTTGTAGGGGCAGGAAGAGACACGACTGTTCCAGCATGAAGGCTTCACTGCGGCAGCGGGACAGTGACTCATGTGACTTCCCACTGTCTCTTGAAAGGCGGCAGATGAATGTGGCGAGCCACTTCCCCAGACTAACTCTGAGTCAGCCCGCATGCAGCTCTGCAGCACGGGTACAGCCGTGGCCCTTTGGGCTGCTTCTGTGTCCCTGCTCACGCCAGCTGGTTATGGGTGTGAAAAACTCAGCTACCTAAATGTCAGCAATTCACATTTCCTCTGAGCAGTGTGGAGTACAAGGCAGTGGTGTGTTTGGACCCTCTTTAATTGTTTGTGAAGTCCAGACAGGATGTGTTTGCTCCTCCTCCAGCTTAACCCTCAGCCTTGACAGCTTTGCTTTCTTTCTCCAGGGTCACATAAGCCTCCTGAAGAACCTGGTGTCATCTGATTATTCTTACTTATGGGTTAGGCCCTCAGTGTCCCGAGAGCAGCTACAAACTGTTTCTGCAGAAGTAGATGAAATAGGAAAACTAGTTTTAGGGTAAGTGTCTCTTCCCAGCTCCGTACACACCCACCTGCCCGCCCCAGAGCATTGCTTTTGGCTGCTGTATTGATTTTTGGACATGCTCATAGTTCTTATTTCATTTGCTCTGCTTTGGAATGTGCTGTAGTTAATAACTAGTGAGAAATTCTGTGTTTTTAATTGAGAAGCAGCTTGCCAGCAGGAAAGCTCATGTCAGTGCTGTCAAGCAAGAATTGCCACGTCTGGATTTAGGAAAGCACCAAGCACAGCAGTTTGTGTGCCAGCAATGGCGCTAACGAAGCAGCGGTGTTAGCAAGGTTTTTCCATGCCACCTGATCTCCTGTGCTTTTGTCTGCTGAAGTGCAAGGTGGTTTTGGTCAACGTGTGTTCAGATTGTGTAACAAGACTTCTGGGTCTCTGGTATGAACCCAGGTCATGTCCAGCTGGAATCACTGTCACTGCTGAAGAGCTCATCCCTGGGGGGTTTTTCCTGCTTCCATTTTTTTGTCTCTAGCTAGCAGCCTGCAGTTCTGTCTGCTCAGAAACATTGCTGGGATGGCAGACAGTCTGCCCAGCCTAGGACCTCCCTTCTGTGCCAGTGAGTTTTGTGGGGTTTTGCCAACAGCAGTTTCACTGCTGCCCCATGCCCCCCCACTCCACACCTTGCAGCTAGGCAGGGTGGTATGTCAGTCACCTTTCCAGATTACATCTCATCTCTGGACTGAAATGAGCCCTGAAAACCATTTTGGGAGTAGTTAAGGTGGCGGTGTCTGCAAATTGAGCTATTTCCAGCTATCTGTAAAGCTGGTTGCCCTCAGTCATCTGTCACAGCTGAGTGGTAACTGCATCCAAGTGATGGTATGTCAGAATACTTGCTATCCTGGAGGGACAACAGTCCTGCTACCTGCAGTGGAGTACTATCAGTGATGGCTCCTGCACCTCTACAAATCATATTATTAAAAAAATCAGAATTGTTGCTTTTGCTGTGGTTTTCCAGGTCCTTGGTGTAATTTTTTGATTTAAACTTGATGCTTTTCTGAACAAACTCTGCTTTCTGGTGCTGTTGAACTAAAGGTACGGTTTTGCAAAGCAGAGTCTCAGCAGCAGGATCGAGGTAAAGCAGTCCCTCCTGCCTCCACGACCAACGCTGCGGTGAGCAGAGGGAGTGCCCTGGCGCAGAGCAGGAGTGAAGGGCAGGAAAGGTTACCTTGAGCTGCTGCTGTTGCCAGAAGATTTTGCAAAACCAGTCTGAGCTAGCTGGCAGTCATCGGAGTCATTAGTCATTTCTGGGTAGGAATCCTGTGTTTTGTACGTCCCTGAATTATAAGGACATTTTCTTTCCTAAAGGCTCATGACAAGGCAGGCAGCTGTTTTGACTGTGGAGGAGTTGAACAAAGACCTGAGAGGCCTCCAGAAGCAAACCAAAGAGACTAAATACAGCAGCATGATGAAGCTCCTTCGCTTGGCTCTCAGTGGGCAGCAGGTAAAAAATAAGAATTCTGAGACTGGGACCTTCTCTCTTTTTTTTTTTTTAACAGCTATCTTCTCTCTGATAGCAACATACTGGTATTTGGACATCTTGCAAGAATTGACATCAGTTTCTGTTATAAGCGTATGTACCGATATACAGCAATTCTGGAAGAAATGGCTGTTCTGAGAGTTTCAGAAAGGCAGAAGTTGTCAAAGTACGAATATGCTGGTGACAAATCTGAAGTTAGACCAGCTCCTTACAGGAGTGTTGGCAGGGTTGTAGGTTTTGGTCCAAACTGGGATTTTACGTGCAATCTGCTTTTACAAATTTCAAAAACAAGTTTTAGAAAAATTCTTCAAAGCCTTATCCTGGCTTAGGCTCTGGCATCAATCATTCTGGGTCAGTTTGACCATTCTTAGCATTTTACTTCGGGAGGAAAAAAAACCCAAACCCTTGTTTTGAGATTACTAATGAAACTCCTACCCTTGGTCTAACAGCAATCTGATAGCTAATCACTCTGTCGTTTCCGCCATGGTGATGCATAAACACGTGCTGAAAAGTGTAAGTTTCCATTGGTACAATGACTTCTTATGTGTTTTCAGCATGGACCAAGCGTTGCTGAGATGATGGTGACTTTGGGACCCAAAGAAGTGTGTGGAAGAATACACAAAGCACTGTCTAGCTAATACGAGACAGAAGTGACACCGACAGCCAGGCCGTGGACTCGGATGGTGTAGGCAACACGTGTCGTTGTCCTAGACCTGTATTTTTTGATCTTGGCATGATTATCTTTGATCAGATGAGCTGGGCTTTAGACCAGTCAGGTGTCACCATAATGTTTCCAGGTCTGTATGTATCTGCACTAAGCATAAGACAGTTTGTCTGGGAGAGGAACCAAACACAGATTTAGGTCCATCCTTCTGCTCTCATCTCATGCAAATAGCCTGGTTTCCAGGTTGGGAGAAAGAGACTTGTATTAGTGTTTAAATTCAGACCATGTGGACAGAAAGTAATGCTGTTTCTGGTACCAGCATGGCTCGTCTCAAGCCATCAGTCTCTTTTTAGAGAGGGCCTTGAAGTCAGGGTACGTACAGCTACAACTACGCAGGTCCCCAACAAATACTGTGGGGAGGGTATTTATAAATACATAAATATATATATTATAGCTGGTGCCCACTTAGCTGCCCTGGTGTCCCGCCCGGCCGAGTGAGCTGCTCAGAGAGGGGGACTCTCCTCCCTGTGTACTGTCTCATGCCTCTGATTCTGCTAAAAATATCCCTGACCAGGAGATCGGGATGTTTTTTCCTCTTTTTGGATGATGACCTTTTAATTATTAAATTAACGTGGTGACTTTTGATTCTGTTCTCACCAGTGTGCGCTCGCTCTGCACGCCAGCAAGGGGAGGAGCAGCCGGAGGCGGGAGGGGGGTGTTTTACCAGGCCAGCCCACGCCCAGAGCGTACACTTCCATGCCACGAAAACTTGCATGGGCTTTCCACAGGGGCGAGCGGCAGCGCACAAGGAGCGGGGGGGGGGGGGTGCGGCGTCCGCTTCCTGCTCGGAGCAGGGCGGAGCAGAGCGAGAGTCCATGGCTGGCGCCGGGGAGCTGGAGCGGTGGCTCAGTGAGTGGGGCTGGGGGGCTGGGGACCGGGGCTGCTCAGTGCTGGAGCCAGCGGTGAAGCCAGCCCTGACCCCCGGCCCCAACTTGGTGGGCACCGGAGCAGCCTCAGCTCCATGGGGCGGGGTCCGTCTCCTTCATGGAGCCCCTTCAGGGTGATGTTCATGGGTGCTGTCTTAACTGGCTGCATCTCCTGCTCCCCATCTCTCCTGTCCGTCCTCAGCCCCAGTTCTGCCAAAGCTGCCTGAGCGCTGGACTGGGCAGTGGACACAGCCGAAAAAGACTTCCTTGGTTCAGCTGTGCAGGCAGAGCTTTGGGACGGGCATTTGTGCGGCTCTGTTGCAAAAGGCTAAACTGTGCCTGTGTTCCAGCACGGCAAGGTTTGCAGTCCGGTCCTGGGAGAGCTGCCCTTAAATGCTTTTTAACAGTTTCACGTGCTTTGTGCTAAAAGCAACCTCATGCTGTTGCTGCTTTCAACACCTCAGTTTATGCCTGATTTTGACTCTTTTAAAAGAGTGTGTACTCCAGACTGTATTTTTAGGCAGATTTTAGTAACAGCTGTTTCCTGCTCGTCCTGCGTCTTCCATTTCTGCCTCTTTTACAAAAAAGCCCTAAAGCAGCTGGTAGCAGCGCGAGGTCTGAGCCTCTTCCTGCCTTTTGCTGCTGACTTGCATACGCGTCTTGCACTGAGGCTGTTTTTGCCCTGTTTTTTGTTTTTGTTTTTGTTTTTTTTTCCCCCCTGTGTAAGATAAGGCCACTGACCCAAGTATCCCCGAGGAAAACTGGGAATGCATCCAGCGGTTCTGTGACCAGGTGAACGCCGACATAGAAGGGTAAGGCAGACAGACGGCTCTTTGTGTTCGCTCTGAGCTGTGTGTCTGGCTCTGAGCTTCTCTCGCGGCTGCAGGGGCGAATGGGACCTGTAAGCTGCGGTGTGGGGAGCCTGGAGAGGCAGCAGGGAGTGCTCGCTGGGCTCTGCTGCTCCCGAGAGTGTACATAAACTGCAAAAAGGTGTATGCCAGTGTGGTGGAGGTTGATGTCTAGGAATAGGCTCTGACATCCATTGCTGCAACCCATGAGGCAGCAGGTCCTGCCTGCTGTGCCCTCGCCAGCCTCTTGGGAGACTGGCCAAGGATACCCGCTGTGGGACTCTAGAGAGGTGAGCCGAGTCAGCCTCAGCTTTTCCTTTCAGAGGGATGGGAGATCTCTGCTGGGACGTCCCCACCTTCCAGCTGACAGTCGCCGCTCTGTGGGAAGAAGCAGGAACTAATTAAGCAAATGACCTGTCAAAGCTTAGTGATCATCTTTCTTTAGCGCAGACGCCTGTGTTCAGAGCCTGTAGTCTGGCAGCCATGTGCTGCTCGGGCTGGGCGTCACAGCGCCTGGACCGCAGAGAGCCGGCTCTCGTGGCGCTCGCCCAGGGAGAGCCCCCAGCCTCTCCCGGCCGGATGCCGCCGCGGGGACAAGCCTCTCGGGGACAAGCCTCTGAGCACGGCAGTGGGGTCGACCAGCCGCTTGAATTCATCTCGCCCTGCCTGCGCGTGTGCGTCCCCCCGGCCAGCGCTCCGCCAGAGGAAGGGTGTCTGAAGCAGCAGGCTGTGAACCCGGCAGTCGCTCTTCTCTGCAGGGCAAAATTAGCAGCGCTTGTTTTTCTTGGGAACTTGTGTCTGACTTGCGTCTGCTACTCCCCAGCCCATCGCTTGCACCGAGGCTGCTGGCACATAAAATACAGTCACCTCAGGAGATGGAGGCTCTCCATGCTCTCACAGTAAGTGCTTTCATCCACGTGCAAAGTAGCTTGGAAACAGAGTTTGGGGGTAGAGCTGCCTCTTTCTCTTAGACGTTTCTCCCTTTTAACTTTCCATTGCACAAGGAATACAGAAACCAGGGGGTAACGGAGGGAGTAACTGCTGTTGTTCTTTCCCTTGTTGGTCTGCTGAGGTGTTTCAGTGGTCTGCAACTCTTACTGTTTAAACTGTGGTCCCAGCACAGGGTCGGTGGCCCAAAAGTTATTAGTGATGGGTAGAACAGAGCAGATGGTCTTAAACATGCTGCTTAAGAAGGTTGGATGAAGGGAAAATACATTTCTTGATGTACAGCTTCCTCAGTATCTTGTATTTGTGAATGCAGTGCCAGAAAGTTCTTAGATTTAATATTTCGATGGCAGCGTTATTTTTAAAAAACTCTTAAGACTCGTGTGTGTAGTTTCTATTTGGTACTGTTTTGTTTTCTGCAGGTGCTAGAGACCTGTGTGAATAACTGTGGTGAAAGATTTCACAATGAAATAGCAAAATTCAGGTTTCTGAATGAGCTGATTAAAGTGCTTTCCCCAAAGGTAGGTGGTCGTGGTTATGCTGGACAAAACAGGTGGGGCACACAGTTTACTTCATGCTGGATATGAAAACTTAGAATTCATTTCGCATAGAAGCAGCGGAGAATTTATGTGTGCCTCCAAGCACAAGGACTGGGTGTGACTCCCCCCGTAAAAGACGTAAGCCAGCGTCGATTTCTGTGAAAAGCCTTTCCCTGTGGTTTCTCCCAACTCTGCTGGGACAGTCAGGGACTCCGGGGGAGGTCGAAATCGTTCCTGTGACCCCTCAGCCTGTGGCCCTTTTGCCTCTCGGTGATTTACAGAACTTCCGTCAGGGATGTGGCAGCGGACAGAGATGCCAGGAGCTGCCCGGAGCCTCTCCCGTGTTTTCTTATGCTCTGTCCTCAAACTCGCATGCTCCGGCTGCTCTCCTTGCTTTCTCCTGCCAAAGGTTAGCCTGGGTTTGGGTCCTGTTCACCTGGGGCGGGCTCAGCGTAGGTAGCAGCAGGGGGGACGGGACTTCAGCAGCCCTTGTGCAGCACTCGCTCCGCCACCGCCTGACAGCCGCGCGCGCGTGCGGCCCCGTTGGGGTCCTGCTGAGGAGTCCTGACAGCCGGGCAGCGGGCTCGCAGCCCCCGGGCAGCTGCACCGCAGCTTGGTCTGAGCGAGCTGTGAGTTCAGGGTGGATGCGCTGGGTCCGCTGGCGGTGCCTCTCATGACGGACGATGGAGACCTGGTTTGTCAGAGGCTGTGTGATCTTCACGCCTTGCTCCTCTCGGCATCCAGTAGCAGGCCTGGGACTTGCTTAAATACCCTTCTCAGCAACTCGGGAATCAATTCCCCTTTTTAGTGGGTCCTGCGCATATTTACCGCTTGGGCAGGCTTCATTTTCCATTACATCGCGATGGCAGAGGTGCAAAGAGCTGGTTTCAGAGAAATGTGTAACTGAACAGCAAAACCTCTTCCCTCAGTTCTTGGTAAAGGTATCTCAGTGAAACAACAAAGCTAAGGACTATATTGCTGCAGAGTTTTGTCTGCTGTTTTAACAGAACAGGTATCATTTGGTGAGTTTAAAATGCCTGGTGTTTCAGAGGTTTGTGTGTGGCTTTTATCATTCTTCCTTAGGTTTTTATAATCGATTAAAGTGAGTGCTTGTAGGCAGTAATGAGAGAAATAGGAGAAAACATCCAGATGCTGAAAAAAGACAATAACTTTCGCTTCTCGTTTTGTTCAGTTTTCATTTGCCCGGCTCTGGCTGAGGCCAGTGGTGCTATTTGTATTGCGGGCAGTTAAGGAAGTATTTAAAATCAAGCAAGAACCGTTTTCACTAAAATAAAACAACCTGCTTTTGGTTTCGGATTTAATAACTGATCAGAGAAGTTTTGAAATGGTTTCATTTTGTTTGTCATATAATATTTATGTAATTATCATATGCTTAATAGTACCCCTTGTATTTACAGCCACAGCCCTACACACAGTTTCCTATACCACAAGATACACAGTTGACAACACTCTGAAAAAAAGTGTTAGGAATCTATTTGCTACTTGGTCTCTGCACAGAAATAACTTAGGGCTAGACTCATATGCCACATCTGGCACTAATTCTTTGGTTTTATTCTTTTATTCCTTACTTTACTGTTTTGTTTTGTTTTCAGTACTATGGAACCTGGTCTTCAGAAAAAGTCAAGTCAAGAGTCACAGAATTAATATTCAGTTGGACAGTCTGGTTTCCTCAGGAAGTTAAAATCCGGGATGCTTATCAGATGCTGAAGAAACAAGGTTTAGTTCTGTTATTTCGGTTTCCTTTTTAGCCTTGCAAGCCACATGGTTTCAGACCACAGATATCTGTCCTCTTTAACTTGTGACTCAGCTTTTTTCAGAAAACGTGGTGTGTAAGGAGAAAAGGACAAAGGCCACACTTACAAAGTTGCTTGGGTACTTAAGGATGCATGTAACTGTTTAAAGAGATTTTCCAAAGAACAGCCTTATTGGGTCAAAGATCAGGCTCGCCTTGTGGCCTCTGTTCACGCAGTGCTCACCACTGTTGCGCAGGGAAAAGGTACAGGACAGACTCGGCGTGATCTTTGCCCTGGAAGACTCTCCCAGGTTTACGAGGGATAGGTTCAGAGAGATCCTGACCCAGATTTCTCATCCCTTCCATCATATTTAACAGTCCTTAATGGTATTGTAGTCCAGAAATTTGTCCGATCCTGTCTTGATGTCCCAGGTAGTAGGTTTCAGAGCTTAAGTGAGATGGTACCATAGTGCTTTCTGTGGAAGTTCAGAGGAATTAGGGAGTTTGTTTAGATGCTTCACACCAGGTTTGCTTTGTGCATCTTTGAGCATCAAATGGCTTTGCAAGTCTTCCCCCAAGTCCTGCCGAGGAAAGCTTCCTCGCCATCACTGCCCTGCCTTTGTGCGATGGCAGCTGTGGGCTGGGCTGTCGCTGCAGCACCGGCACTGCTGGGGTGCTGAGCAGGGGTGCTGGGTGCCCTCCTGCCGGGCTGCTCTCGGGGACCGCTGCCCATCCAGTCGGCTGCCGCTGCTGCTGCAAGCGCTGCCGAGGGGCAGGAGGGGAGACGTCCACGGAGTCACCGCTGGCCCTAAGGGCTCCTTCGGTACTCGGTTGCGTTTGGTGCCCTGCGTTTTATGGCTGTACTGATCGTGGCGGTCCGGCGTCCTCGGAGGTCAGTACTGGTGTGCTCCCAGTGCTCTTGCTATGGGGGAATTTTAGCAATTCACCCAGAGGGAGCTCCGCACCTCCGAATTTTATTTTCTACCCTGAAAATCTCATTTGGCCTGTGCTTAATTCAAGGGAGAAAGGGAAGTCTTTTGTCTGGGTGTGTGCTAAGGCAACTCCTTGCTTCTCCATCTCATTCTGTAAAGTTCTGGGGGCGGGTGAAGGACATAGGTGCAAAATCCTAGCGTCGTGGAACTTGTGTGTTGTCTGACTTGCTTCTGCTACTCCTCAGCCCATTGCTTGCCCCGAGGCTGCTGGCACATAAACATTGGGGTTTTAACAGCTCGGGCATCACTGAACAAATACTGTTACCCGTTCCAGGGATGGTAAAAGAAGACCCCAAATTGCCAGTAGACAAAATTTTACCTCCGCCTTCTCCGAGACCTCAGAACTCTATTTTTGACACAGATGAAGAGAAATCGAAGGTAAACCTTAGGGATTTCCTGCTTGCCGCCCCGACTCTGATTTATACTTATGAGAAAACAGGCTCCATCATATTTTGGGAGTTTTTGCTGTTTCAGACAAAAAGTTGGTAGAATAATGCTAATATCTCTTGCTGTACAACAGCCAGAGAATTCTTTGATGCTTTGTCAGAAATTTTTGCTTAGTAAAAAGTTACACATTTTTACAGAAAAACGTCAGTTTCTATTAAACTTTCCCGAGGGAGGGTTTCTCCAGGTCTTACAGAAGCTCTGCAGAGCCAGAGAATTCTTATTTCCAAACAGCCAAACAGTGTGTGCATGCAGTTGTGGGAAGCAGCAATATAATCTGGATTAGATTATGGGACGTGAGCCCGCCTATTTCCAGGATTATAGAGGCTATGATGACAGTGGGTGTCTGTCAGTGTCTGCTCTCGTGTGATGTGTGTCTGTAGCGTAGTGCCTGGAGGCTGCTGCTCACTGCTATCCAATGCTCTCCCCTCACAGCTCTTAGCAAGACTTTTAAAGAGCAACCACGCTGAAGACCTGCAGGCTGCCAACCGTCTGATCAAGAGCATGATGAAAGAGGTGGGGAGCTCCTTGGGTCAGCAGCGCTGTTTGCAGCTGGGGAGGGCGGGAGGGGACCTGGCAATTCAGTTTTTGACCAGAGGCCCTCCACACCTGATCTCCATAGTGCTGCCCCGGAGGAGGGACGGTTTTCAGTAATTGTCACTCCGAAGTTGTGGTGTGGGATTGTTTGGTTTGTTTTGTTTCCCTAAAACATACCATTGCCAGGAAGAGGGAATATGTATACTCAGGAGCCTGTATGGCAGGACACTTCCAGGTTAGCGGGATCCTGGCAGTAGTACTGCATTAGTGATAGAAAGTTTCCAAAGTTAAACTTAGTTCCCAGGTGGAAAAAAGCCACACTTGTACAGAACTGCCTCTTTTCTGGACACAGTGTGTGTGTGTGTGCAGGCATCTGGCACGTTTGTTTTCATTTTCCATCCGAAAGAGCACCCCACTTCGCTGCATAAATAGGAGACTTGGTCTGTTTTAACGAAATCCCTGCAGTTGTTTTGGGAGCGTCCTTCTGTATGGCAGAAGCCACCAACTCCCAATTCTAATTTTGAAGTCTTACTCATGCCCGTGGTGAAATGAATTCCTACACATCAGCACCCTGGCCAGGGTGCCCTGAGAAGGGTGGGAGGCTTCCACCTTCACCCTTGACAGGGAGGTGTGGTGCAGCACTGGTACTGGAGCTGTTGGGGTTGGGGGGGTGAGTCGTTACCCGCGCTGCTTTGTGCCTCCTCTGCCTGCAGTAAGACATTAGTAGGAATCAACTCCCCAACACGTGTGATCCAGAGTGACCCAGCCAAGCTCATGCGCTGGCTGTATTAGCCAAATCATCATCTACTTTTATTTCATTTTTCATCAAAGGAACAAGAAAAGTCGGCTAAGGTGTCCAGAAGAGCGAATACCATCAGTGAGGTTTCTGAGAATGTTAAACATATGGATCAATTACTGGAAAGCTACAAGAAACAAGAATTATCCAAATCTGACCAGGAGACTCTACAGGTAAATGCTCTTTTTCTTGCATAAGAGGTTCTTTTGACTGGCTATGGCTGGGAGGGCCCCGGGCAGCAGGATTCAAAGGGCAGCATGGTGCACTGGGCGTCTGCCAGGGCAACAGCATTACCACAGCAAGTAGTTTCCAGCTTATTTGGTGAATAACGGTCCCTCATGTCAGCGTAATGGAAGTTGGAATGGAACTGTCTCCTGCTATGCTGGCTTGAGTTTCTGCCCAGGTCAGCTGCTCTTCTTGTGGTATCTGATGGGGAAATGGTTCTTCCTCCAGTAGTGGCATAACACATGGGAATCCCCTTCAGCCCGGGCATGGTTAGGTGGGTGTGATGAGATCTGACCAAAGAAGCTCAAAGCTGTAGGTTCTTCAGCTTGTGCTACAGTTTCTGTGATTCCCCTTTTTCTGCCCAGAGCGCACTGGTCTGCTGCTCATAAGTATCAATTAATTGATGTCACTAATAGGGCTGTCAGAATAGCTTTCTGGCCTCTAAATACCTGAAACTCCACTAGGATGCCTACCAGACTCTAAATTTAAAAAAAAAAAAAAAAAAATCAGACAACTGAATTTTTGTAGGTAAGAACTTTTCCTGTGGCTATAGGTGACAGCAGGGTTTGGAGTTAGATCCCTCTGGGGAAGGCTGCTGCTGTAGGTGGAAGAGACCCTGCTTTCAGACCGAAAAAGTGTCTGCCTCTATGCCTCCTTGCTTCCTAAAACACTGAGAAGAGAGCTTTAAGGCGTCTTTGCATTGTGTGACGGTAGTTGCGACTGACAGTCATAGTCCTTCCCTCCGAGTACTGTGATAATCTATTCACTCCTGGATGCTTTTAAATTGACTAATTTTACACGGATCTATCTTACACTGGTACACATAGAGAGGATGTGATTGCTGAGAAGATACCAGCAAAGCCTCTGTGTTCCAGTGGCAGTGCTTCCAGGACACTGTGGATTTTTAAGAGTGCAGCAACACGCAGCATTGATACCCTTTGTCTGGACCTGGGCAGAAAATGCATCTTCCTGGTCTAGACCTATCACCAATTACAGGTGGTCACGGGGGCAGCGAAGTGCAGGAGTGTCTGGGGTCTCCTGAGCAATGATGTGAAACATTTCCTTCCATAGACTCTGTCTCAACGCTGTGAGAAGCTCAGGCCGCTGCTCTTTCGTCTGGCCAGTGAGACAGTCGATGACGATGAGGCTCTAGGTAAGAGCCAACACTCTCCTTGGATTTCTTTGCCGTTAAGTTTATCTACCTTTCCTCTGACAAATGGGGTATTCCCTTCCTCTAAGAGGGGGACATGCTTAGGCATGGGCTACCCTGCTGGCAAAGCTTTCCATTTTCACCTTTAAACCATGCCCATGGGAAGTGGCATAAGTCTCCTCCCACTCCTCTCCAAGGAAGCTATTAATTTTCACTTGGAGCCCAAAATCAAACAGTGAATCCACTTTCTTCCAGCCAGGGTGGTTTTCAGAGTTTTTTGGAGTTCTGATGTTCAGAGAACTGAAGGCTTTTGAGGTCTCTACAGAGACTGAAGTTCTCCCTGTCTATCAACACAGAAGGGAGAATATTTTTTTAATTTCTTAAGTAATCTACTGAGGAGGGTCATATGAGCAGAATCTTTGAATTCCACAGTTGTGAAATTTAGCCCTTCCTAGAGGATATGCCTTGAAAACCTGACTGAAGCGATGCCTCGCTGAATAGACATCTTAAACAGCAACCATAAGGGCTCAGCTGTGCCTCAAACATTTCATTCATACCCATGAACGCCAGGTTCTTCACCTGTGGAGTGCTGGATTACAGACTCAAGTACACTCGGAGAACTTGTGGAGAACAACAAAGTGCATAAGAGATGGCAGGAACTATAAGTACTTTAGAGAGAGGATCAGATTTCAAAGTGGTCTTGATAAATGAGAGAGGCCTGAAATCAGCAGATGTATGTGCAAAATGCTGCACTTCGGAAAATGGAATGAAAAGCTAGTCAGGATCTTAAGGCAGATTTCCCCACGAGGCTTTGCTCCAGGCAAGTCCTTAGATGCACTGTCCCTTTCTTATGAGCGGTCTGGAGAGTGCTGTGGAACTGCCCCTCCAGTTAGAGCATTAATGTTTCGCGTCTTCTCTTGTTCTCCAGCTGAGATACTGCAGGCCAACGACAAGCTCACACAGGCGCTCGGACAGTACAGGCAGGTTGCAGCCAGCCATGAAAACGGTGGTGGAGGAGGTTCAGCCACCAGCTCTGCTGATGCACCAGGTAAAGAGCATCCTGCAGCGTTCCACGATGGCTCTGCTCCTGCATGTTGTATATGAGTGGAGCTTGGAAGGGAAGCACCTCTCAGAGAATAAATGTGCAGACAGTCCTGTAACACAGGAAAACTATTACATAACCATCATTTTCTTTTACATATGGTTGATAGAAAATATTACTGAAGTTCTTCTCCTATGAGTCCTTTTGAGCATGCCTGTACCCACACATACACTGTTCCTTTCAGGAGGTTTCTCTTTAACTCTTTCTGCTCTCTCCAAAGCATGCCGGACAGCCCCAAGACGCATGAAGAGCTATACACTGATTGACTTCTCCGAACTGGAGGCGACAGCCCAGTCTCCTGCAGAGCAATTTGCAAACATAACCACCGCCTCCCGGCACAGCAGCACAACCTCTACCTGTCTGCTCGATGAGGAGTTAAAGTCATTAGGTTTGTACATGCAATTCAGTACTTTGTTGTCCTTGTCACTAGGGTTCATGGTGATCAATAAAAATAGGAGAACTTTGACTTTAATGTTGGTCCTACAAAAAAGCAGACCCTTTCAGCCAGAATCACAACTTTTCAAGAATGTAGTTTCTTTAATGGTGTTAGACTGTAGTCAAACTGCTGTTAAGACAACACAGGAAGAACCTATGGCCAACCCTTGTTTTCTGTAACTGATCTGTGGCATCTTGGCATCTTTCTTAGGTCTCAGCAACTCTCCTGTTGTACAGAAACCACCATCTGATTTTGGCTTAGCAGAGGTAAGAGATATTCAGATACTTTAGTCCATAAGGTACAGAGGACAAAAATAAAACGTGATTCTTGATCCAGCTTTCTCTGGCAGCCTTTTTTTTTTGCACCACTATATTCTGAAAGGCAGCTAGAATCCTCCTGCTCTGCAGTGAGTTTCTCAGTTGCAGTTTGCAACCAAATTACCCGTATTTATTTCTATTTTAAGTAGTGTCATTAAAACTGAAGTTCTTTTCAGTGGAACGGGTCTGATTTTTGCTGATGTTCTACAGCATGAACCAGAAGTGTCTTACTTTTCAGACTCCTGTACACAATGGATATAGTGAAATTGTAAGTGCTGTTCAAGCGCTGGGACTGCAGGAGGGCTGGGAAGACAGCTGTTCAGAGAAGAATGAATTTCAGGGCCTGGCTGATCTGCTCTCTCCATCATCCAGGACCAAGACATTACCCTTGTAAGCAAACTCTGCATAATACACTCTGACTTTGGAGATGAGGAATACTGCTTTACAGCCGTGAGGTTTAGGAAGACCTTTCAGCTACAGCTGGTTAGTGATGGCAAGCTATCCATCCGTGCATTGGCCCCAAAGCAGCAGTTATGCACCTGTTAATTGCACTTTGTGTAATTGCATACTAGAACCTTTCAAGGGTCAGAAACTTTGGCAGACAAATCCCATGGCTTAGTAACAAGGTGATCTTGAGCTAAAGGAACAAAAGCCTTACAGTCAGATCTTTTTATAATAACCTGTGACTCAAAAAAGACTTTGCCCATCTTCCTTCAGGCTATGACAAAGTAGTTTCCAGGCATTCAGTGGAAGCCTAACAGTTTGTGAACCAAATGAATCATCCACAGATCTTCAGAGCAGGTGACCACTGATCCAGTCTGCCATAATACAAGTCAAGGAATTTTACTGGAGATTCCCAGCTTCTTGCATTACCTTTGAGCTACAACTTATTTTAATCTCACTGAGTAGAGCTTCAGAGAGTCTGTGCATGAGGAGAGTAGACTTCCAAAGCCCTGGAACAAAGTTTCACGATAGTAACAGAAATCAGTCTCCCTTAATGCTGAAACAGGAGCTTCTTCCATGTATAATAAGAGTTTTCGCATTTCTCAAGAACTCAGAGAGTGTAAGCTTGTACTTTATTTATATCTAAAAGGTATGATGGATTGGGAACACAGATGGACACAGCAGAAGGTGGTGTATACCACATAGTCTCCCCAGTTAATATAAGCTTTCTACATGCTTTTCCTTCCAGGGATTTATCACCAATGAAATTGAGCTTTCCAGATCTTCCAAATAGATCAATGGCAGATACTTCATTCTCCAGCCTAGGCTACGAGCTGAAGCCTGCTGCCTCTTTGCATCCAGCTTCCCATGATGCTTCTCTAGAAAACCTTTTTGTTCCTTTAATTTCAATTACACCGAGTAAGTGCAATGATTTCTGTGCCCCAGCTCTGCTTACTAGAGCTGTTTTTGCAGGGGAGCAAGCCAAAGTAGCCTCAGGCTGTGCGTGTTTGGCTGGAAAAAACTAATGACTGTTCTATGAAGGACTTCATGTATCTGAGGATTTGAGCAAGTGCTAGGAATCGTACCATGGAAATGTCCTTGCCCTCCCTACTCAGTAGTCGGGAGTTTCCTGCCCTGGCTAACCTTTGTGATGTGCTTCTGAACTGTTTGCCCTTAGCACCTTTAACCAAGCTTCAAGCAGGTCTTCTCCAGAGCCTTAAAAGATATCTGTGGGTGGGAGCTGTCCCGCTTCCTAAAGCAGAGCTGTTCTTTCTGCCTCTGCTTTTCGATTCAACACTGTACGGCCCAGCCCTGCAACCACTTGATGGAGTGTTACCCTGGGTACATGGCACCCCAGCATCTCGGAGCAGGGCACGTCCTCTGTTAAGAGGACTGAGAGCCTTGGCTGTTGCTACTTTTGGAAGAGAACAGGTACAAAGACATTCCGATCTGATTGTCTTCTGACTTCAGTCTCTCAAGTGAAGGATTTACCAGATTTTGGAAGGGCTGGATGATGATAACCAGGCAATGGTGATAAAAGGCTAAGTCTTCTTTGTGCTGAAGAGTTACATTTTGCTTTTCCCATCGTATCTGTGTTGGATTCATAGCTGACATCTCTGGCTGACTGTTGAAATCTGAGCTGCTAAATCTCTAATTTAGACATCTAGATTCCTTTCTCTGCCTTAGAGGCAAAATGTAAATCACAGCCAGGTGCTGTATGCTGCTTGGTCTGTGAGTTTGTTGGAGGAAGTAAAAGTTTATATGCATGTTTCCTTTTTGCTGTTCCTTATCACGTCTTTGCTGTTCTGCCCTCAGAAGGGAGGGGAATCCATTCTTTGTTTCTGATTCTTCTTTTGTCTCCGGCAGGCAGTATCTGTCCGCTTACTGTGTACGATAAGAATGGTTTCAAGGCTATGCTCCACTTCTCCAGAGACCCGGCTCCTGGACGACCAGATGTGCTGGTGATGGTTCTTTCCATGCTGAGCACATCAGCTCAACCAATTAAGGACATAGCATTCCAGGCTGCAGTCCCAAAGGTGAGAAGCCTATGACAAGTAGCAGAGAGTGGGACTACTCGGAAATGTCCTGAGGAGGAGGTTTGCCATTTCTTGCTTAAGATTGCTTGCCTTGCTCATTGGAAATTGCACAGCTCAGTTTCTCTGAACTGTGAACCTGTTGTGTGGTGGTGCTGGTTTCACAGAGTATATTCCTGGCCTTGAGACAAGAAAATAGGGCTCCAGACATGCTGCTTTACCCTCCTGGGTAAGGCACTCATTCTGCCTTGTGTATGTGCAGCACAGAATTGTCTATTTAGGAATATCTGCCTTTAGATGTAGGCTGGGGAAGGGCATGCTCTTCATTAAATGACACAATCTGGCTGACGTATCTTTAAGCAGCTCTGTGGCTTGGTAACACTCCCAGCAGTTTTTCAGCGTGGATCAGAAAGCATTCCTTTTGTTTTCTCTTTCAGACCATGAAAATAAAGTTACAGCCAGCATCCAGCTCTGAGCTGCCTGCCTTCAGCCCTCTTCTCCCCCCTGCGGTGGTGTCCCAGGTCCTGCTGCTTGCCAATCCGCACAAGGTATGTGCGGTGATTGAGCCTGCTGGTGGAGCACTCAGAATGTCACTGTAGTGGGTGGGGTATTTGTGTGAGAGACAGGGAGATGAATGGCAGAGACAGAGCGGTCTGAGCTGTGCTGGAAGGACATTTTTCCCACTGAAACAGCTTTCCAGAACTATAATCTGAAGGATTGAATGAGCAGTTGCTACAGGGGCCTGCACAGTTCTACTTCAGTCTACGTGCGGTGATGGCTCCTGGTAGACACTGCGCAGATGTTTGCAGCTGATGGAACATGAGGCCACCCAAGGCACAAGTGACAGTTCACAGTTCTGTTACATTGATGAATAATTACGAGACTGAAGGTTGGTGTAAGGAATCCTCTGTCACTGAGAAGGTTGGCCAGACCTGGACTGCCAAGCATGCCCTTGGGTGGCTCGCACTGGTTTCCCAGTCACTCCTTATACATCTCATGAAGATCCAGGTCTCATTCTGTGTAGATCTTCCGCATGGCTGAAGTGGTACTCTCCCCTTTCAGAGGGTGATTCACTGCAGCAAGGCTGTGAGGGATGAGGCTGAAGGGGGCCCAGGAATCTGCAACCATGACGTGGCCATCTCTGTTCCTTTCTCTCATAGGATCCTATCCGACTGAGATACAAACTGGCGTTCACGCAAGGTGTGCAGCCCTTCAGTGAGATGGGAGAGGTGACTGGCTTCCAAGAAGCAGAGCTCTGGGGCAGGAGCTGAAGGTCAGCAGGCTTGGACATTGCCATATCGCCTTAGTGGTGGATGGGGAAGGGCTGTGTGCAAGCGATGCTGGCCTGGACTCCCTAATGGCTCTTTTCCTTGGGATCTGCCTTCTCCTTCCTTTTGGTTTCTGTGCAGGTGTCTGGCAGGAGGAATGTAAACTGGCTGCTTCTGCTGCATCCTTTTTCTGTAGCTGACCCCACTTTACAGGACCCTGCTGTGGAGCCCTGCAGCCCCAGAGCCTTAATGCTTTCTTCCATATAAGTGTTTCCTGCTGCTTTCTGGGCCACTTTTCCCTCTCTCCCATTACCTATTCTTTTTGAATTAAAAACAAACCCCAAACTTGTACCAACAATCAGTCCTTGTGACAGACTGCTTGGAGCCCAGCAGCTCTTCCAGAGACCTACCCACCCTGCTTTCACTGGTGCCTGCAAGAACGGGGGGCCTGGTGAGAGTTGGACTCTCTGCAGTCTGGTGGATGTGGTTTATAGGGAAAGGCACAAAATGGAGTGACGAGTCAATAGCGGGCATGCTTGGGGACCAGTCTGGGAGAAAAAACGGCTGAGCCTGTAGCTTGTCCCTCGCCAGGCCCCGCAGCTTGTCGTGCGCC